ACGTGGGTCCGATATACATCCTGCCGGTATGAAGCGAGCTGCAGCAGCAGTGACAGCCCTGCAGAACTTACATTCACCGAGATGGGCGTCGGTTGGTGTAGGAAGCGCAGTGAAGGTGTTTTCAGTAAACTCCGCGTAACCTTTCCAATCAGCTTTAGAGAGGTTGATATAGAGGTCCGGTGTTTAGCGGAGGCGAAGTCGGTTGGTTTATCTATCGAGATGACTATGGGTAGGTGGTCTGATGCTAAAGTCAGCATAGATCGCCATGTTATGCTGTTTATCAGACCAGCGCTGACTATTGTGATGTCTGGCGAGCTACTGCAGTTACCCATAATCCTGGTGGGTGCGTCGTCGTTCATTGTGCAGAATGTCGAATCGTCTATCTGCTCAGCCAAGTCTGTTCCCCTACGATCGTTTGACAGGCTTGAGTGCCAAAGATCGTGGTGCGCATTAAAGTCACCTACTACCATACGGTTTTCACCTCTGAGGAGCGCACCTATATCAGGGTGATATCCTGCCGGGCAGCAGGTGACAGGGGGTATGTATATGTTAAATATTTCGAGCTCGACATCGCCTGACCGGATAGCGATGCCCTGACATTCTAGGGTGGTATCCCTGCGGTCGATGTCTGCTTCGATAAGACGATACTGCACGGTGTGGTGCGTGATGAACGCTCAGCCACCACCATTATCTCGCACGCGATCTCGACGGTGCACGTTGTACCCGGCGCAATTCAACAAAGTTGAATTGTTGTGCAACTTCGTCTCTTGGACCGCAGCTATCAATATACCATGCCGACACATGAAGACGGTTATCTCCTCAATCTTGCTCTGTAGCCCGTTACAGTTAAATTGAAGGAGCTTCATGTGGTTCGGGAGACGTGTCGTGATGTGGGGTGTAAGTGATGTGTGTGTTCTTACCGCCGTTGGCTGTGTGCGCTGCTGTGATGGTTGCCGCCCTGTGGTGGTGGCGGGAGGCGTCGCAGTTGAGGTCTGCGACCGAGCTGCGCAAGACGTGCCCTCGAAGTTCCCAGTCCAATCTCGCGTGGTACGCAGACCTGAGCATGCCCTAAAGTGGCACCAGCCAAGGCAGGTGTTGCACTTGACTGATGTCACATTACGGAATATCCTGGTCTGACATACCGTGCAGATTGTAGGGGGAACCAGGAGTTGTTGGCGGCGGCGTGTGGGTAGTGGTGCGGTTGTGTGTGTTATGTGGTCTGTCGTGGCTGTGGTGTGGTCTGTGGTGTTATTATGTTGTTGTGCTGTGGTGACTGTGTGAGGCTGCTCGGGTGGACTGAGGTTAGCCGTGGAGGCTGCTCTGTTTGAGCAACAGGGGGCCACATACGACGTGGTTCACTGTCGATGTGTCCGTAGTCCTGAGCTGACTCTAAGGTGACTCCACCCCTCGCAGGCATTACACTTGACTGAGGTGGAGTTGTGGTGTAATCGTCTCTGGCATACACAGCAGGTGTAGATTTCTGGCCCTGGGTTTGACTCGATGCCAGCCCTGAGTAGAAGAATACGTAGTGAATGTAGCCCTGTGGACGAGCAACTTCTGAGATACTTCGCCGACCTAAACGGGGTTAGATCGCCGAAACAACAGCCCTTGGTCGGGTAAAACCCAAGTCATTCCGGTACGTAGAACCGGCTGTCGTGGGAATGTTGCCTGGTTATCAGGTTATGTGGTTATATTTTTATTCAGTTTACAACAATAAAATGCACTAAACAATAATAATTTTTAACCAGATAACCTGATGACCAGGCAATTGTGAATAACCTCAATAAAAGTTTCTAACTTCGTAAAAATTTAGAAAAATTCATCAAGTTTTCAACATTTCAAACTTATTAATCAAAATTAATGCGGTTGCCCATTTTAATTTTAGTATAGTAATGATTTTTGAAAAATTTTTGCTTTTTTTATGGGAAAATGCGCTACCCCATATGGAAAAAATTGCCAAAAATAAACTAGAATCTTGAGCTACTTCAATACATTTTTCTAAAATTTTTTATTAAAAAGTTTGAAATGTTGATGAATCTGATGAAATTTTAAATTTTGTACAAAGTTTGAAACTTTTCTTTATATAAATTTTGTTACATTGTGAATTATATTAAAAATATATACATATGTATATGTATATATTTTTTTATAATATTCTACCTTATTTTTTTAAATAAATAAATACCTTTTAGTATAATAATGTGCAAGTTTGAAGGACATTGGACTTACCGCTGATTTTTGGCAATTTTTGGTTTGCTCATTTTCTTCTAAATCAGTTTTGACCCAGTTATTTAAGTTTTTCGTAAATCAATCTTTGACAAAAGTAAAAAAAAAGCATCAACACTTTCATTATTACGATTCAGTTGAAAAGATTTTTAAATATTTGTATGGAGATTTTTTAAGCCTAATCTGTTTTGTCGTCTGAGGGGCCTTGTTTGCAAAAGGTTCTTTAAGAAACTATTTTTATTCATAAAAACTCCATTTTTGGAGGTATTTTCAAATCGGTCCAGCTCGCCTTAATCTTAATATTTTTCAGAAATATTTTGGTGGACGTCTTAAAATATAATAGATTTTGTAATCCCGACGGAAAAATCGATCTCGTTTCATAAAATACATTATTGCGCTTTCAATGTGCGTGTGTGAAATTAAGACGAACAAAATAAAAAAATAAGTTAAACTTTTCGTACTCTACGACTTTATTTTACGTTTATGTATGTGTGTTTGCGTTATAAAAAGGGTAAAACAAAACACAACAGAATTTGTAAAAAACGAAACCACTTAAAATCAGTACACAAACGCCTCTAGCACCTTACTGGAACTTTTACTACACTTCTGTGTATGTATGTTTGGTCATTTCGAAAGAAAAAAATAAAAAACAAATAAAAAAAATTAATCAAAACAATAAAATAAATTTGCATAGAATTGCTGTGACGGCGCTATGTGTAGATATCATCATCCCTGCAAAAAAAATTTACAAAATAACAAAGCGACAAATTCATTCTCCATGCTCTATTTTAACGAACGCCATGTTGGCGCTCTCACATGCCTCACATACTATGTACACACACAGTCGCACTCATTATCAAACCGAAATCCATAGGCATTGCCATAAATTTGCATTTGTTGTTGCCACATTTGGTGGCTGGCTGCCGGTGCGACGCTTCCAATTGATGGTTGTCGACTCGTCGCCATCGTTGCCGGTTACCGGCATTGTGCGCTCATTTCCTCTCAAGCATTTCCTCCCTACTCCGCCCACTTTCATTTCGAGTGGGTTGGTATGGCCGTTTCGTCGGCTTCATGCTCTTTGCAAATACTCACTTGCTTATGCTATCAAACAATCAACCATAGCAGCCAGCCAATGCTTCATCCAACCATCCATCCATCCGGTCTGCTATCATTTGAGCTTTCATTTTATGTGACTCTCTCTCTTTGGACCTTTGACTGCTTATACTGGTATGTACCAGTGATGGAAAAGTAGGTACAATTGTACTTTTTTCGGCTCTTTTTCAACATGAAAGTACATTCGGTACATTGCTTCCATTTTAAGTACATTTTAAGTTTGGCCAAATTATTTGTCAAGGAAATTTGTATGCCGATTTTCTTTTGCCAAGTGGATTTTGGTTAAACATATTAAAACATAGAACTTTTTGATAGTGTGCCATTGGGAATGAAACATTTAATAGCATGTCATTGTGAACGATATATGTGAAACGAAGAAGTAACTAGCTTTTATGTGCGCGCAATTTGAATGAATAATTAATGAAAGCCGACAAATTAGAGAAACTGCAATGGATAAGTAAGTTTCAAACCGTTTTTTTAATACAAACTATTTCATTTTTGAAACGTGAAAATGCAGCTGCAGGCAATGATGAGAAGTAAGTGTGACAAAGTTCAACTAGCGCAAAAAAATTTACCGATAGCATTTTTCTCATATTTAAGCAATAACGAAGAAAGCAACGTAGTTTCCGTGGCGAAAAAGAAAAAGTATGAGATCAAATTTAAGAGGGAGTGGGCATCCAAGTACAATTGGCTCCAAGAAGACTCTACCGCAAAGCAAGGTAAGAGGTGCATGATATGCGGTGTTCCAATTTACGGCAATATGTTTCACATCGATCGGCATGCAAATTCAGACCTCCATAAAAAAAATGCTAATATTGCTAAAGCAACCTTAAAAATTTCGAGTTTTACTAAGCCGAATAGCGAGGAAATGGAATTAAGTCGCTCAGCAAAGGCAATGGAGATTCGTTTGTGTATGTTCGTTGCTGAGCACAATTTGCCATTTACTGCTTTGGACCATTTGGCAAAATGTATTAAAACGGTAAAAGATTCACGCATAATTTCAAACCTGAGCATAAATAGACATAAGGGTCAAAATATTATAAAGTCAGTCANTTTAGGTACATTTGTCCGCTTTTAAGTACAATCTTCTTGTCATATTAAGTACAATTTGGAAAATTCATTTTCCATCCCTGGTATGTACTATGGTTTTTGCATACGTTCGTTTTTATTTAGCACATTTGCCAGTTTTTGGTACTCGTCGTTTCAGTTTCGGTTAAATGCCTCGTGCACACGCGCAACGTTGCCTTAAATCGCTCACTTCATCCAAGTACAATAACCCCCCTGAGGTGCTTTTGTTGTTGCATGTGACCCAACAATGTACGATTTCATAGTGGTTCGCCTTTTATTTTGTATTCCTTAACAATAGCTTTTGCTGCTGTTTTGTTGCAAAAAAATTTTTGCACACATGTTTGTGGTTTTATTCGATTTTATTTTCAGCTATTCTTAATGGCATTCACTGCAGACCAAGGAACCAGCTTTCGCTGTGTGAGTACCTACAGGGTGCTATGTGCGTCTGTCTTTAATCAGCTTTGAAGAGCTGATTTGCGCACTCATTCATTTATTACCTTTTATTTCCTTTTGCCTTGGCAAGTTTGTTGTATTTGTTGTATTCATTTTTTTATACAAATATTTAATTTCAATTTCTCTTGTTTATTTTGCAGAGATTCCTCAGTATCCGAATGTCGATCCTTTCAACTATGAGAGCATGAAATCGTCGCTGTTGGAGCGTCTGGAATTATTCAATGCCGCACCATTTACCATTCAACGTTTGTGCGAGCTTTTGATTGATCCGCGTAAACAATACAGTCGCATTGATAAATTTATGCGTGCTCTGGAAAAGAACATTTTAGGTGAGTATTTGTCCGTCGTGTAAAAAGTAATTGAATTAACAAAGAAATTATAGGCGTGGTGTACAGTTATTAATGACATGATAAATGATTTGAACAAGCTCTTTTTTAAGTTAAAAGTGAATTTGTTAGACAATTGGTGATAAAACCTTGTGCTGCAGTGGGGGATATTGATTTCCAGACTCAAAAATAACTCTGATGGCCTTATTCATAAAAAATAGAGTAGTTTTATAAAAGGTTTATAAATTGACAAATGTATGATAATTTCAATTTAAATTAAAGATTTAAGTTTACTTTATTTTTTATGAATCAGGCCATAATACTATGTCCCTACTGGAGCTTAACCATTTAGTTATAGTTGTTGAGTTGGTTATCCCCAAAATAGGCAGTGTAGCTACTTAATAGGCTATAAAACTGCGTATTCAAAATTCCAATTAATTTAAAAGAAAAAAAGTTAAAACCTGATTAAAAGCAATCTGCAAAAAATTTTCGGAAATGCATCGTCTAAATTTGTTTCGAATAACTGCAAAAAAGAACGTTCGTAAATGCAACATAAAAAAAGTTTTTTCGAATAACGGAATGGCCTGGCTTTTTAAGCCATCTTCGGGGCGTTAGCGTTAAATTTGGAAATAATATTCACTACCAGTGTTCGGACTCACCTCCGATGAATGTAGATTTACTCCGGTGTTTGAAAAATTTTGAAAAAATGTCTGCTTGACTTCAAAAATCAATTTTTTACTCAAACAAGTAATTTTTTATGCAAAAAACAAAACCGACTTCAATTCTCATATTAAAATTTAAGATTATGGTTAATTTCTTTATGATCCAATGATCGGATTTAAAGCAAATTAATATGGGATCACCTTTGAGGTAACATCTTTCCTTTAAAAATTATGGAAATCGGTTAACGTGATCCAAAGTTATGCGGTAACACACATAAAAAAAAGAAAAAATATTCCGACGAACTGATAACCTGCTCCTTTTTGCGAAGTCCGTTAAAAACCAACTCGAAACCACGTCGAAAATCTGATACAACCCTGTGCTCTTCCGCCATATGTGGGTCATTAGCGTTAAAATTGAAAAAAAATCGTTCCGTACCAGTGTTCGGACTGTCACCCCGATCATATTAGATTCACTTCGGTTTTTGAAAAAAATTGAAATCTACTCCTCTACTCCGCTTGACTTCAAATCTATTCCGTTTTTTGCACTCATGTTTTGCCCCTCTTAGGCCCGTGTTCACCCCTGGTTTCAGTAAAAAATTGAAAGTTAAGCACAATCTCACTAAATAAAAGAAACTTGTTCATAAATATGAGTCAATAAAGTCACCTCGTGATTTTTTGATATATGGATGCAAAACTTGGCGGATGCAGAACTTTACTTAATTGATGAAAGACATATGTTGAAAGAAATTAATATAAAGTAGAAAGGTTTAGGTACTATTGCTCTCTAAAAAGGGTCTGTTAGATATATTATACTCTATGGAAAATACAAAATTACCTTATTCTTATTTATGCATGAATACAAAATATTTAATGTCGAAAGCGAAACTAAAAATTCCAATCGGTACTGAAAATTTGTTTTTGCTCCGATTTTTGAAGGATTTACTCCTGAATCGAGTTTCAGTAATCCCAACACTGCTCTCTACATTTTTACTGTTTTATAAACCTCAAACCTCAGTGTGGACAGCAATGGTTAGTGATGTGGTTATGTTCGACTTGAGATGATTAACCTTTTGGTGGGGACATGGTATAAGGACAGATGTTTAATTAAAAATTCTAAGGAGATGAAGTTTAAAATATTCAAACGAACTACTAAAATCTATGACAGAAGAGTAACTGTTACACAATCGGATACATCTTGTTATCAGTTCCTTGATACCATAATTTACAAGATGCATAATATAATACGCGAAAGGATTTTTTGTCTAGGTCATCAAATCTGTCCCATTCGTTCGATTTTCAAAAATGAGATGTTAAATATGTTTTACTTATTCAAAAATAGCTGCCACTATTAAATAATTAAACACATATTGCCCTCAGATCCGCATCTTTCGTTATGAAAGGACATAGGCTGTAGATGTTCAATAAGGTTTTACTTTTTCGAAAAGAGTTGCCACCTGTTAAAAAATTAACCTTAAATTATTTAAAAAGTCATCGATGTGGGTAACAACCGAAATGGCTGTAAAAAGCTTTATATCTTAACTACGTGAAGGAGGGTTGCCACATGTTTGTAAAATCGAGCTAAATTTTAATTAAAGGAATTAGGTAAGTGAATAAGGTATAACCATATGGGTGTCAGACAAAAGGGGTCTAAGAAGGTAGTAGTTTGAAAATATTTTAAAGACGGTTGCCACGTATTTGAGAAGTCGAATGTAATTATTTTATACCCAAGTTATATGAAATACTAAAAATCGCTGTCAAATGAAAGAATTTTAACAAATCTTTAATTTGACAATTTTGCATATTTTTTATGTCTTTGAGAGTTGCCATGTGCTAAAAAATAAAATTCAACGTAAAAAGATTTTAGTTTAAAAATACTTTAAAAGGGATTGCCACCTGTTTGAAAAGTTGAATTTGTTTCACTTATACACAAGCTAAATGAAATATTGATAATATTTTTAATTAGGGTTGCCGCCTATTTTTGTTTTTTGAGGTCATTAGATCTGCGTTGTTATTTCGAATTTCCAAAAAAAGAAGTCAAATTAAAGAACTGGGATTGCACATAGATGTGCAATAAGATTTATTTTTTTGAAGTTATAAAGTTTTTAGCGGTACAGAGTGATATTAAATCTGAGAAATTGAAAACCGACACCATGCGTCACCTCTCATCATTACGTGAATCATTAGGAATAGCAGTACTCCAAATGGCTTTTTACAAGAGAAGTGTACAGACTTTTTTTTATAGTTAGAGGATCTCTAAAATCCGCGCTGTTGCTTTTTATACAGCCAATCATTCCAAAAGCTTTTGAAACTATAAAATCGACTGGCAAATGTAATCATATTGTCAATATGACTCCAAGATTTTTTTATTTAGGTAGTACCGTGGTGTATCGTTTTGTATACGATTTTAAATTATTAAAAGAACACCATTTTTCAAACGAATGCACATCATCCTGCAACTTAAGGCATTCGGGGATATATTGTTGATTCTTAATAACAATTTTACATGATTAGCGAACATAAGGCGTTTCGCATGACGCAAATAGCGAGATAGGTCGTTAATAAAAATTAGGAACAGCAATGGGCCGCAAGGTGTCCCCTGGGTAATACCTGACCACACTTCAACGAATAAAGTAGATTTTGTTGTGCCAATATTGAGTAAAGAACCTATTATGCCTTACATATGTATTTAATTTATGCTTAAGCATAGAGTGATCAACTTTATCAAATGCCTTGGAGAAATCGGTGTAGATAATAGTAGCGTTCTTGTACGCGATAGTTTGTACCAGTTTGTACTAACTATCACGTTTTGGTGTTCTTGTACCCAAAACACTTGTAAGAAAGGGGAAATTGAGAGCGCAAATTGACATTTCTTTCTGAGGAGAAGTTGCTAGTTTTTACTGGATAAATTTTTGCTGGTAAGAACTTGCAAGTGAGAAAAACAGCTGATCGCATGTTGCTGGGTGGAATTAAAACTAATAAAAGAAATGTTTATGAGGTTTTCATAGTTGAAATTGACAAAATAAACCTATTTAAATATAATATATATTGTTTTAATAGGAACTAGCTGCGAATAAACAACAAATTAATCAGCTGTTCGTAAAACTTGCAAATTATTACTGGTTTTGCGTTCTTGTACTTTTGTGCTATGAGAGCGAATTCTCAGAAATTAAGTTACTGGAGATTTACTGGCAAGTTACTGGATAATTTGTAAAAGAACACTACTAATATCCAGCTGCGATTATTTTTTTTTGATTTATTGCTCATTATTAATAAGTAGAATTGATTAAAATATATCAGCGATTTTTCCCACAAAAACTGCCATTATTTCATTCAGTAGGAAAAGGCCCTGTCATCGATGATGTTAAGAATAATTTTCTATTGAATAGCATACATAGTTAAGTCCCAGTTTGGTTCTAACAGCAGGAAGTATAACCTATTTTAAAGTATGGTAAATTAGTTTTGGCACTATCTTTCAAGCTCATGGCTCCGAGCCCATTGAGGGTACTTACATAATTGGCGAAGTTCAGTAAAGCCGAACCCATACTGAATATCGTCATTGTCAGTAAAAGTGATGAAATGGACATCGTTATTCAGCGAATATCTTATCCTACAAGGCACTGCAAACTAATACGGCATCTGAACATGCTAGGAATATAGTCGAAAGATATTTGTCCGTTTATCTACTAGACCTGGGAGATACGCTTTCGGCAGAAGACGTGAGAGGATTCTAAACTCAATGCGGCTACAGTTTGAACACATTATCTATTATTATTTTTAACCGGCTGCAAAAAAGGAGGAGGTTATTAATTCGTCGGAATATATATGTTTTTTTTTAATGTATGTTATCGCATAAACTTGGACCGGGTTAACCGATTTCTAAAATTCTTTGCCTCAGAGGTGTTTTTTGCTTGAAAATTACTTGTTTTTATTAAAAGCCAAACACTCTAAAGTCACTTAAGCTACTTAACCTGAGGGCACAGTTTACTTCTTCAGGAAAACATAGCAACGGCAAGGAGCTTTTTCAAGTGATAGCAATAGTGAACAATATTTCTTGAGGCTGGAAAAAATGTTGTGAAGGGCACAATAGATCACTGGGTTGCAGTGCATACCTGTGGTGTAGTGGTTAGAAACAAAAGAAATAAGAAGTTTTCTAATAGCGGTCCCCCTCCGCAGGCAATGGCAAACCTCCTGTACTAGGTCATATTGCCCAGGAAAGTTATTTTGAACTTTACTTTTAATTCATGCTTTTCAATGAACTTTACTTTTAATTCATGCTTTTCAATATTATTTTAATTATACATACATATGTATGCATATTTTACCCACTGAATATCTATTACCACTACTTGCTCCTGCTTGGTATCAAATACTCAACAATGGCTTCTTTTCTTTTCTCTTTTTATGAACTCCAGTAGTGAGCACCATCGAACCTGGCCGTAAGCGTACTGAAAGTGAAAACGGGGATTCATTGGACTCTGTTGTTAACGGTGATTTGTCGCTGGACGTCAATGTCGACATCGATATGGAGAATGAGTCGCTTTTCAACATGGAAACGCAAAACGGCAACGGTACTGGCAACGGCAACGGTACAGCAGCAGCAGCTGATGGCGAGGCTTCCCAAGAGGCAGCTGAACCTAAAGAGAAGCCGGCTGTGACTGAGACGACCGCTGCTACTAAGCATGCCACAACCGACGATGATATACTGCCAAATCCGAAGAAGGCAAAGCTGGATTTAGATGCGAAAGAAGAAGAAAAGGCTGCCGACAAGACTGAAGGAGAAGAGAGCAGCACAGCTGTGGCTAAAGATGAGAAGCAATCGAAGGTGGACGATGAAAAGCCTAAGGAAAATGATAAGGCTGATGGCGAGGCCGAATCTGAGGTGGCTAAGCCAGCTGTAGAGGATGCTGAAATGCCAGAGGTTGATAACAAAGAAGTAGAATCAAAGGTTGAGAACGAAGAGCCGAAAAAGGAAGAGAAAGAAGAAAAGAAAACGGTTGACAAACCGCCAGAAAAAGAAATAGAGAAGGCTGTAGAGGCAGAGGTTGAAGCTAAAGTGTTGCCAGAAGCCAACAATAAGCAGAAATCTGAAGTCAAAACTGAAGTTGACGCTGCTAGTTCCGATGAGAAAAAAGAAGTCGAAGAAGTGGATGCGGCTGAGAAGAAAGAAGAGACGTCAGTGTCTGAAGCTGAGTCGAAGTCAGCTGAAGAAGAGGAGAAGATAATTGAAAAACAAGAGATTGAAAAGGGTGAAAAGGAAGTGGTTGTGGCAGCAGCTGCCGTAACAACTGAGATCGCCGAAAAATTGGTTGAGCCTGAAGATGAGAAAGCAGCCGCTGAGGAATCGACTGAAACTGCTAAGGTAACGAAAGAAACCAAGGTGCCGGTTGCCAGTGGTTGTGATAAGGACAGCGCTAAAGCCACAGAGAGTGTCGAGAAGGAACCGGCGCCTGTTAAGTCAGATGAGAATGATGCTGAATCTAAGGCAGAAGTTTCGACTAGCACACCAGAAAAGGAAGTAGAGATTGCGCCACAGACAACGACTGCTGAAGCTGTAGCGGTTACCACTACTACTGACAAGATAGAATCAGCTGAGGATGCCAAAGCCACAGCTGAAGAGACCGATTCCACTGCCACGTCAACAAAAGAACCCGAAAAGACTGAAAGTACTGCTGAAGCCGCTGTGGAAGAAGTGGAAAAGCTAGAAAAGGAGCAGAAAGTTGAAGCTTCTGCGGCTGCAACCAACGAGGCAGAAGCCGTGGTCTTAAAAGAGCCCTCTGTTGGGGCTGTCAACAAATCCAATGAGGAGAAGAAGGAGGCCAAAGTCGCCGCATCACCTGCTAAAACAGCTAAAACCACTAAAACCGAAAAACCAACGACTGATGACGGCGCCGCAGCTGTTACTGACACTGCCGCCGTTGCCGCTAGCGAAAGTGAAGTTCCAGCCACCGACGAAGCAGTACAGAGCACCACTGCTGATACCGTAACCGCAGCTGAAGAGAGCAGCGCCGCCGCACCTGCTACCACTTCAGCACCAGCCGAAGAATCAGCCGAAGCCATTGCTGCAGTTCCTGAAGCTACACCCACGCCAACACCAACAGCTACAAAAATTCCAACACCGACTCTAGCACTCAATGACCAGCCAATGGACGATGTGCCGATCGAAGAACCCCAATCCGCTGTCGATGAAGTTGTTATGGCCGAGTCGAATGCCGCTACTGAAATGGCCACTGACGCCAACGAGCCAACAGCACCGTCCAAGGACGATCCGGCTGGCATGGAGGTGGATGACACTAGTCAGGAGGCAATGGATCAGTAAATTATTGGCAGCATAACAATTTCACACAATAATATTTTCCACACGCATATAATACGATAAAAAAATATTTTAATTGTGAGACACGTCGACGACGGCGAAAATGCGACGCGATGCGACGCAAAGCGATTCTTCATACTTAACACATTTTTTTTTTTTTTTGAATATGTAGCGGGTTTTTAGGCGCATAAGCAAAATTACATGAATGTGTAAACAAAATTTGGATGTAAGTTAATTTAAACTATGAAGAAGAACAAGAAAAATTACAATTATAACACTAAAAACAAAAGAAAAAGAGATAAATATAGTTGGCAGCATAAAAACCCGATTAAATATTTAAACATACATACATATACTTTACACAATAAGCAGCGTACTTGTAACGTTCCGTTCCGTTCCATATGGCGAATATATGTTTGTAACACCGCATGGACAACGAGCAACATAGTTTTGCTTTTGTGTACATTCTTTAAATTTAATTTAAACCAAAATGAATTATTTAACATGGTATTAAAAATTATTCATTTTATCTACTTTTATTTGTTTAATCAAAGCGCGCCAACAATATTAAATGAACCATTGAAAAATGAAACATAAAAACAAAAATAATAAAATAAACTGCTTGGTTTTTAATTTTGTGGTGCAACGAACACCGTTTTGAACAAAATTTCTGTTTTTATTATTTACTTACTTATTTTGAATAAGAATTGTGCTAAAAGAATTTGCTGGAATGCTGGATAAAGGATTTTAAGAGCAAAATAGTAATGCTGATAAATTTAGGCAAAACTCTACCTAAAAATTTTTACAGATTTTTATATTTTTAGCATTGAAGTATTTTAAACTTTTGGCTGTGAGACTTTAAAAAAAAAAATAATTGCGTAATTTTGATTCATTGGACTTACGCGAATCACAAAACTGTTGGGCTATAACAAACAGGCTGTGTTCAGAAATGCATCCCGCCAAAGCATCAGCCTCATTTTATCTAAACTACAAGTGATAGAAAGGCCTTATTTGCGCAACTAAATTGATGCATTTCTGAGCACAACCATAGACGTTACTTAACTGCTGCTTGACTCGAATAAATGATTTTTTTTTTGTTTTCGTTGTTGTGGCAGCAGTGCTCAATCAGTTTGGACTTGTTCTAGGGTCATAATAAAAGCGACAATACGCAGCACTGATGAAAATTTGCAACACTCTTGCAACTGCTCCAATGATACAAGGCTGCTAGAAATTCAAATCGGCCGTGACACTTTAACGGCTCGCGCAATACTGCGGTTGTTATTGCAACTCGAACAAGTCTTTTGTCTAGCGATTGCAGATGGTGTGCATATTGGGGAATGCATTCAGACCAATGCATGATAAGTAGCACCGTAGAACCTAATAGCAGCGAGGATTTGAATTCAGAAATTCTTATTTGCGCCTTTCTTCAAGTTGGGTCAGTTCGGAAATTCAAGACGCAGTATCACTGCAGATGATTAAACTCTTTTATTCCTAAATTGTAGATCATATCAATGCCGCAATTTCGCAATTTAGTTCCAATTTGGCACTAAACCGTGTTTGCGAAAGCTAGACCATAAACTGTGGGTTTGAAATAAAAGGGACTGTTTTTTTGTAGTAAGGCATTTACGAACTGACGCATTATGTTGGTTGGTGCCCAACCAACTAGCGGCAGTATTTTCTCTATCTGCCTACATTTAAGGGTTAATGTAGTTTGAATAGCATTAAATATTTCCCAAAAAAATTTTGGAGAATGATGTTGCATTGGCGGTCCTGGGACAGACATAAATCTCGGCATAACAGAGTTTTGGGAAATGTTGCCTAAGTTGCAGCCCTTTGTAAGCAATACATATGAATCGTTCCGGTGGGAATGGCTTTCGATAAAGAATAAAAAACGAACCTAAAAATCCCACACGGGAAGAACATCGTACACCGAAATCTGCGGTTACTCAACCCGAATTGCTATGAAATTAACTATAACTCCGTATTTTTGTCTTCTTTGAAATTACATTAATGAACCAAATATCTTTGAGAAACAAATGTAAGGGCTGACCACTTTGTCAGTAAAAAAAAAGTTACATATTTAATAATAATGTGCAAGTCTCTCACTGTCATTGGGCGCGTTCCATTTATTGCGAGGTGGAACAAAGAAAAACGTGTCTCCATAGTTAACTCCGTGCTTTGCTGCTACAGCGACTAATGGTGATTTCGTTTCTACCAAAAAATTTCGACTTTTGATTGCCCGTTTCCCTTTTCGTATTCGGTTCTAATAACTATAAAGACAAGCGGTGAGAAATGTCACACTCTTTTAAGGCAAAAAAGGCACATTCCCTGCCCCTTGAAGTTTTGTCAGGGGTGATGGTTGACCTCAAAATCAGATTGTTGCTTAAAACGACAATATTATGAATTGCGTGAGCTACATACTACTCGTGCTATTACTCTGCTTTATATATATATATTTTTTTATTTCTATTTATTTTATCACAAGACCACCTCAAACAATTTATAAGTTATACTTTTAACACTTCCTGAAAATATTACAAACAGCTTTGAATTTGCTAATTTTATTCGTACAGTGTTATCACTCTACTGTAAAGCACTTGCTAGCACAATTCTTAACCTATTTTTTTTCTTATCTTTTGCTTATTACATATTCTGATGACTTCCAATCAACAAAAGTTCCATACATATAAGAATTCTTTTTTAATAAATTGCGCCGGAGCATTGCGTGAAAAAGGTACCATGTTATGTAAAACTTTTATAATTACATAAATAAAAGAAAATAGCATTGAGTATTTCATTTTTTACAACAGTAATATATGTATACAAGTATATATGATTATCGTCATCATAACCGTTTTTTTTTAAATGCAAAATACGTTTTTAAAGCATACTTTTTTCGAGAGCAATTAAAGTTCAATAGTGATAAAATAATTTGGCGCACAACTTGTGGCAGTTGGGTATACAAAAATGTTTCCAAAGAAATATATTTGGCTTGACGCAACGAAAATATTTAATAAGGAAATTGATCTATGCACCTTGAAAGGTTTTTCCCTGCGGAAAGTGTGAATGAAAATATCATTTTGCAAAGTATTTAAGGTTTAAGGTTAAGTTTTCGTTTCTACAAAAAAAAAAAAAAAAAAAAAAAATCCGCCTTTTCATTGTTACTTTCTCTTTTCCGGTGGGATAATTTTGTGTTCGCTTCTTAAAATGTCGCACTGCAGCAATGAAAGAAGGCACATTTCTGCTCTTAGAAGCTTTGGGAGAAACGAAAACACCATAAAATACGTTTTATGTTTTAACCATCAAAGGTTTGTTTTTTCACTATCATTTCAAAAAAAATGTCAGTAAAATTAAAAAAATGTGCATTAACGAATTTATTTTTTTACATTTATTGCTGTAGGCAAGATAAATCAAAAATAACTAAAAGACCTAATAATATAACACAAACAATTGCTTTTGTAATCTCAGCGAGAATTCTATAAGGTCAGATTACTTCCTCAATTATCCTCTTAAATTGCAAAGAAATTTATCTTTTAAACTTTCTTTGCTTTTTTTTTCTTCGATTTCAAACAAGCTTGCTTTGGCTGATTAGGACCTTTGAAACTCCGGTTAATAAAGTAAGATCACTTTCAAAGTCTTTCAGTGCTCTATTGAGCTGTAAGTTTTATATTTCAGCGTAAGCGTCGAAAGTCATAGCGCTTGGAAAAATTTTTTCCACTTAAGAGTAGAACTCAACACCAAGCTTCTTAGGCATTTTGGTTTTCAGCGCACAAGCCGACATATAAAACCTTAGCTGTAGGGTCCCACTCTAATTCACGTCACCTAACATACCCACTTAAGTCGGGTCTATATTACCGGATATAATTTGACCAATAACTTTCACTTCCTTTACTTTTTACCAAATTTTTTATGAGGAAAGCTTCATTCTGTTACTACAAAAACTTTTGACATACATACAGTGGTATAAATTCATATTTCTAACTTTGTGCAAAAATTATAAAAATTCTGCAAAATTGCATCTAAATTTTCAATTTTTCAATCAGATTATTTAGAATTTTTTTGACTATGTAGTTTTATAGCCCACTAAATTTTAGAATGAAGTGTAAGCTTTATGTTGCTAAAAAATCGCGTTGATTTTTGGCAATTTTTTAAAGATTTTCTTCCATACAAAGTATGTTCGACAATTTTCTTCGTATGGAAATAATTGCGTAATACATTCAGAATAAAAATTAACAAAAATCAACGCAATTTTATACGAACTTCAAACTTGCACTTTACTCTACTAAAATTTAATGGGCTGAAAAATCTGATTAAAAAGTTGAAAATTTAGATGCAATTTCGCAGAATTTTTATAATTTTTGCACAAAGTTTGAAATTTGAAATTATATGGTTTTGTTAGATAATGAGCTATACTTTTATAAAAAAAAATAATAAATATTAAATTAACAAAAGAAAAATGGGATAAATTTGTTAAAATGCCGTGTCCCTGTTTATTTTTCCACCACTGTATGTATGTATGTATTTTTGGGCGCTAATACTGGTGAGAAGTTGCCTTCAGACAACTTTATTTAGAGTTTTCGAGTTTCCAATAAACTCTCAATTTTATGAGAATCAATACTTATATGATAAATAATAAAAATATCTTGTCTAAAAAAAAAAATTAAAAATTTTTTTTCATTAATTATTTGTTAATGAAAATTATATTTCTTACAGGAGTGAAATGTTTTTAGATTTGCAATTCACGAAAATTAAGAGTCTGTGTTTAATATAATATTGTTCGTAAAAAAATCTGTTAATATGTTTCCTTTACAAAAATGGGTGTATTTTTACCTTTAAATTATAATATATTAAACTAAAATTATTTCGAAAATTAAAATTTTTTCTATATAAAGTAATTGCTTTAATAGCAATTAATAAATTTTTTTCTTTTGAATTATTAAAAAGAAAATATAGGCATTCATCTATATGCGTAAATACCCCTTAACCTCGTAAACAAACCGGTTTCGCATACAAAATGAAGTAAGCTTACGAGGTGCTGCATGTGATTACAAGTCACTTTTACGCGTCTAGATGAATTGCTCTGATATAAAGGTATTTTTACATATACATACGTACATACATACACATACATACATGTATCTACATCATCCCAAGTTAAAATTTATTCTTTAATACGTTACCTTGACCCTCTTTTAAATACATACATACATACATATCGTTACCTAAAAGTGAAAAGGGTCCAAGTTTACTTTAATTTAGTTTTTGATGCAGAATGACAGATAATGCGAAACTATATCTATTTTTCGTCTCTCTGGAACAATTTCAAAAAAAAAATAATAATTGTCTTGTCACCTTTTCACCATTAGGTAACGATATGTATCGCACACATTAAATAAGAACTATTTTTTCGATGGAAATCGTAAAAACGCAAAATGAAACTTTCTCATTGCATCATAATTTTTTATCTCCATAAATTTTTTAAAGAAAATTAGTATAAGCTAGCGCCGCATATACATACATATTTTTAATTGAAACCCTTCATTCATACATACTCCAATAAATTTTAGTAATAGTTTATCATATAGTATTCATGCATATATGAAGAGAAAAAAAAACTAAAGCAAAAAGAAATAGTATAACGAAAATCATCAAATGCAAAATGCAAGCGATTTAAAAAATCCAAAATAAAAACTAAACAAAAAAAAAACGAATTATAAATTGAAAATATGTAATACATGTAATTGATAATCTTAAAAATATTAAGCTAGTGTTTTATTTATTGATTGGTTTTGAAAACAGCATAGGCTATTTCTTAAGGCGCAAAAGTTTTTTGCTGGGTAAACCATAATGGACCTTCGAGTTGTGGTTATTGCAGCAGCAAGCGACAGTCGGTCCAGTGGTCACGTCAGTTGTTGTAATCTTCATGTTTTTCTTGTAGCCTTAGGCTTAGATCGGGTAACAGGAGCGTTAGTTGAGTGTGGTTTAGGGGGCATGCGAAGAAGTGTCGCGAGTCTTGAGGCGTATCTCCACATGCCGGGCACATCTGCATTTATTCTGCTCAAGTACGAAATTAGCCCGCTGCAGGAGCCAGAGCTTAGTTGGGCTGTGGTAGTGCGAGTCTCCCTAGGCAGACGAAGCTCTGTCTCGTCCACGTTAGGCGGTTTTGTTTCCAAAACGGCATTTACGAGTCAGGAGTCGGTGTAAGTTGAGGCCGACTAGCAGTGAATGCCGTACATAGCCAGTCGGTCTGGAGGTCGCTTTATGAGCCTCTGGATTTCGTGTGTTAGTTCGTATAGATGCCTTCTGACGTGCCTAGGCGAGGGCTTTGCTGCAAGCATATGTCTGTTCGGTTGCCCACGTATGTGACACCCTACTTAGAACTGTTTGGTAAGCATCATGTTATGCTCCTGGGAGCATTTCAGCATCGTCGTGAAGACTGCTGTGACGACATCAGAAGGCATCCGGTTGCGGTCCGAAGTGTCGTGTTCTGGCATATCTGTAGCTTCGTCCACTGCGTACTGCTAGTCCACAGCGACCATGCGGGCGCTGCATAGTTGAGGTCCGATCGTTTCCTTGTCTTTGCCCCAGGTGCTGCCGGCTAGCGACTTTAGGACCTTGTTGCGGCTCTATACTTACTCTGTTGACAAATGCGGTTGTATGCGCCATGAAGGAGAGTAGACTATTGAAGGTAACTCCGAAAGTTTTTAGGTTATTCACTATTGAAGTTGGTTCGCCATCGACGTGAATTCCCAGCTGTAGTCTGCCCTCCTTCGTCCAGGTGGTAAAAATGGTTGCCGATGATTTCGAAAGGGGTAGGGTTATGCTCCTTGCAGTGAAGAAGCGAGAAAGTTCGGAGAGTTAACCATTAACTTTCGGGTTATCAAGTCCATTACCGTACGCCGTCGTCAGCACAAGGGACAATAGAGACTCCGTTTGGTGGATGATAGAGCTTTGAGATATAAAATTAAACAGCAGCAAGGACACCATCCTGTGGACCCCCTGTTTAATTTTCCTCGGTTTTCTCGTTTTGTTTCTAAAAATTACTGACGATAATTCGCTGACCAACGTTTGAGTCCCGGTGGCAAAGAAAATGCCCATGTCTTCTAGTAGCGTGGAGTGGTTGACGGTGACAAATGCCTTTGACGAATCCAACACTAATAGGGCTGTTCTCTCACAGGGGCGGTTTCGGTTCAGGCCACGAGCTATCTCGGTGTTAATGGCGTTAAGTGCTGAAATCTCGCTGGATCATGTGCCAAAGCCCCAAGAGTTTTCGCTACCGGAGAAAGCAGTTTTATCGGCGGGTTTCCACGGCATAAGCAGTGGGGTCACTCTCCTCGTTTTCCAGATATATGAAACGATGAGAGTGCCATGGGTAAATTAAGGACCTTGGTGAGATAATATACTCCCGCAGGATGCAATTTTTTAAGCATCAGCATGCATATTCCGTCGGCTTGCATGTCATGGCTTTCGCTTTCCCGATGGTTACCTAAACCTCACGAGTTACGAGTTTGTGCAGCCTTCTGGTCACTCGACATGTGGCTCCGACCTCACGTTTGACCAAAGCTTGCTCATACCAGAGGTGAAATTACAAGTCTCGAAATTATCTTCCCACTTCTTGCGAGATTTCGGGATCGGCCTTGCGAAGGTTGTCTCGATCATCGGCTAGGACAGCCGCTTCCGACAGCGGCATCGCAGAATGTGTTTGCGGCGGCAGGTGTTGCTCTTAGCTTATGCCATGTTATACGGTATATTCTGAACCGACACACCGATCAGATTGTTGGAGGAACTAGGAGCTGTTGGCGGCAGCGTGTAGGTGGGTTTCGAAGACTTGAGCATATTCTGAGACGACTCCATCCGTTGCAGGTATTGCACCTGACTTAGATGGTTTTTCGGCGTAAACGTATCTGGCATACGAAGCAAGTGTAGGGTTTGACACGTTGCCACGTTGAGCAAACGGGTTTTTAAGGTGACAAAGTCATGAGGCTTATCCGATAATGTCTACAGTGGGTAGGTAGTTGATATCCCTCTGGGCCGCTGGTGGTCCAACAGAGCCAAAGGATGTTCAATGTACTGGCACGATGCAAAAGGAAATCTTTACCGCCGCCGAATTCACAGAGTCGATCTCTTCGGAGAATATTGTACTCGTTCTAGCGCTGAAGACTCGAGTGGAATATATCGCTGGATTGCTGCAACTAAGATGAGGCGAAATCATGAGAATGAGGGCGTCCCAGTCTTTCCTAGCATTATGAATTTAACTGGATTACTACATGAAATCATAAAAAACTAGAGCTCAAAGACGATGTTCAAAAATTAATTTTTTTCAACTTGTGTCTAACTAGTTGAACTAGACA